TCGTGAACTCGGCAACCAGGTTACCGTTTGTTTTTTTTACCTCCGTTTTTTTTTCTTTTGGCGGTAACCATCATGGTGGTCGAGTAGATCATGTTGTGCGGGGTGGAGAACCCTCACTCCGCGCAAGGGGGATGATCGCACCACGTTGTGTTAAAATGGTCAAGCACCCTCGAGGCAGTTACACAGTGCTTACAACTGTCTCTGGAAGTGAAAGCACCAGAAAATAAATTAATTCATACGCAGCTGTCATCCGTACGCAAGGAAGTAAGCACAAGATGCCGAACACCCTTAGCAGGATGCAGCGCACCCTTCATGCGACTCGCCGAATATCTCACGGCGCTTCGCGCTTGGTGATGTGAGAGCCTGGTCCGGTGAGAACCCGGCGTGCTCCGTCCCGGCTTTGTAGGGATGCGAGGTCAATGGTCTAACGACCACGGCATGCACGACTATGAGTGCCCCTCCCCACCCTCCCTCTGAAATCGGAGTTTGTCTTCATTCAAAAACAACAAAAAAAACTGAAAAGACAGCGAGGCAAGGTCGTTCTTCTCGCGACAAGAAGCAGATTGGTTAGATAGAACTACAAGCCTTCAAAGAGGACAACTCCTGGCTCACGCGCTCACCTGCTACTTGTGCTCAAACTTCCACCCAGAGCGATACATGGTTGTTGTTGTTGTTGTTTTCACATTGAAAACCGTTCCGTTCTCTCTGCCCAGTACCTTCCTCTGTCCGTACTTGTCGAACACTTGACGTGGTGGTTTTCTGATATTGACCTTATCCCTGCCTATCTATCTCTGTCGGCACTCTGTCATTCTTGATACTTCACCACCTATCCTCAACACAGCGCCAAAAACTTGGTACAACGGCAGTGTATTTCACACCGACTATAATAGTACTATGTTGTGGTAAATCCCGCCATTACCATGCACGTAAATAAGGAAACAACACTGAAGCGGACCCGAACCCGTGAAGGACACAAGAATCTTTTGCACACGACAACACGCCGCGGTAAAGCCGGCCGCGATCGATCTTTCTCGGAAATCTTTCTGAGAGTAATCAATCCCGTTCCAAGATGGACACGCGAGAAATACTTCCCCCTCCAGCTTGAGCGAAACGAAAAGAGAACAACAACATTTCGAAAAAATAATGCCCCGGTATTCATACACGTGGAGAATAATGACAACATCAACAGCAGAACATGGACGACACCCAGAGCTTACATAATTAGGTAAGCGATGGATCAAGAACATAAGGGAGACAAGCGGAACGAAAACAAACGTGTGCAAATGCGTCAAAAGCACACGGTGCCTGTTCTGGTACGCATATGTACGTCTCAACAGGAACAAATGAAAAACAATATTCAATATTTTGTGAGGTAACGGCATACAAGAAGGAAAACGGGGTTGTACGGACTAAACGGAAGACCTCTCTGTTGTTGATTGCAGCCTGGTAGGAAAGAAACAAAAAACAAATCAGCACGCACAGCCAACCGCAAGGTGTGCAGCACGCTCGCTACTGCCGTAAACCCACACGGCACAACCTCAAGCAACGAGCAATCCCCCCCCCCCCCNCCCCCCCCGGATGATGGGAATATCCTTCAAGTTCCGCCACCTGCTCATGATGTACGCACAGGGGGTCCCCGCCACCTACGCTATCGAAAAGAACCACCAACAACCAAGCCAACCTTCAAAAACTACAAAGACCCACCCAGAACAACCTGCTATCTGGTTGTGCGCCATGTCATTTGACAACAGCCGTATTTAGTAGTGCTAGCTACAAAATATATCGAGTGTTTTTACTTCTCTGCAACAACAGGAAACGCCAACGACAAAGGATGAAATCAATCAACAAAAATGCGCCAGCCTCTCTGTAGGCAAGGACAAAAACATGCCGGACCCCTGCAATGATGTACGAACAACTTTGTCCACTATACACGTCAATATGAGCCCGGCAAATAAGAGGCGCCCTCAAGAAGGTAGAGCATACGCAATTGATCTGTATACCAACCCCCCCCCCCGCCCACGTTTCTTTTTCCACGCATCTGTCTAGAGTACAACCAACCGGCGATAGGTTTATCGCCTAAAGAAATACTTGTCTTCAACACAAAAAAAAAACACGTGCCGCTAGCCGCTAGCCGCTAGCCGCTTAATACACCCTCCCATCCCCGGAAACTCAACACCCCGAAAACCACCCCAACCCGCGTAGCATGACCTAACAACCAGCGTGTCGCTTCACGTAGTAACTGAACCTTCCATCATCGCACGTACTTCGATACATTTTCCTCAAGTCCTACTGTCACAGGTGGCTAGCTTTTTTCAACACAAGAATCTCGCGCGAACGAGCGCGCCTCTTCAAAGTATCGTCTGCCCCCGCCCCCCCCCCCTCCCCAAATACCGGTGTCAATCAACCCGACCACATCAAAAGAGTGTGTCATGTGCTCTGTATTCCCAGCACCTGGACTTGGGCCCAAAAAGGTGTCGCGTTATGCAAGACAGCGTCTCTCGAAGCGGTCAGAGATGTAAGCACACCGACACCAGAGCCGGGGTGGAATTGACTCGTCGCGATATCCCGATAACTTTTTTAAGTCGGAGAAAAAACAGTAACTACCGTGAATACC